GCGTCCTCGGTACTTTCGAGTCGGTACTTGACGTTTTCTCCAAAGACGGGACCGGGGAAGGAATTGGAAATCCCGGATGCATCCGTCGAAGGAGGCGGCGCGATCCGACGAGATCTGTTGAAATGCCCGCCTCGGGGAACGGAGAGGACGATGAGAACGTCTTCACCGCGATCCACGTGGCCCAGATCGTTTCAAGCTTTTGGGGATAGTGAGGCAGTTCACCTCATTTTCGCTTGCATCGCGCTCTCCGCTCCCTGTCATCCATCCCCGATCGATGAAAAATCGAAGAACGATGGCCGAAATGCGATGCCTTCGTGCAAGGTTCATCGTCAAAGAACACGAGCCTGAATGCAGTCCAACCTTTCAGAACGTTTTACCGACCTCTGAGTAAAGCGAGCATGCGGCTTTAGAGGACGTTCTCGTTCCACCGAGTCGCACGGCCAGAGTACATTTACGACTAATTTTTCCTACTTTTCTCCGTTTCGGAACGGGTCGGAAATCCTGGCCGAAAAGGCTTCTCTCTGGTCGGCATCTCCGATACCGAGTCGAGGCGGCGGGAAATTGCGCCGGGAGAGACATCTGGCGTGACGTTCGAGCAAAGAGGGTTTCCGGATCCCGACGCGAGATGGCGAACGAATCGCCACCCGCGATTCCCGCGATCCACCTCGCGCGTGCGGCCGGTACGCGTCCCCGGTACTTTTAAGTCGGTACGTGACGTTTCCTCCGAAGACGGGACCGGGGAAGGAATTGGAAATCCCGGATGCATCCGGCGGCGCGGTCAGACGAGATCCGGGTGATACCGGCCGATGAGAACGTCTTCATCGAGNAGAACGTCTTCATCGAGATCCATGAGGATTCGCGAAAACGATGAAGGAAGCCTCTCGGGGTCGAGAGGAAATATTGCCGATGTGATCGACGGCCGTTTCGTCACCGGATGCAATCGCACCTCATCCGTCATCTAGGGAGACGGGAGGAGGGAGGAGGTCGGGGACCGGTGGGATGTGCATCGGTCGAATGCGCGTCGGAATCGATGCGAAAAACGAAGGCGGCCTCCAGCCTGATTCCCGCGGGAACGATTCGCGGAGACTTCGCCCGTCGCTTTGTGGCAGGGGTCCGCGAGAGAAAAGTTTTTTTTCGTTCCTAGTGAAATGATCGTTTCTTCGAGGAGGGTTCACGTTTTCCATTTCCTTTTTTTTGGTCGCCGGTTTCCCTCATCGTGGAAGACCTTTACTTTCGTCTCTTTTAATGAATTCGCTTTCGGGGTGAAGTCGTGGATCGTGCCAAAAGCATTCTCGGTTCAGGGAAATGTTTTTTTTCCAAAATGTTGATTTTCCCGCGCCCTTCCACCCCATTCCGGAATCTGATAAGGGGGACGCGGCCCGGAAGTGCCAGGTCCTTTGGAGATGCTTGTCGCTCCTTCGGGCAATTGCAACGGTCGCCTCGAAAATCCCCTGTCGTCAAGCCTGTCTGGCCTGCGACGAGACGGGATGGCCCCGTGGCCTTGCCGGTTCCAAGGTCGGCAGGAAGCGGGGCGAGGGAACCGGCCTCGGGGCGAGGGAATCGGCGTCGGGGCGAGGGCGGGGGCGAGGGCACGCGCGCGCAACCGCGTTGGCCCTCGCCCGCCCCTCCTTGCCGGTTCCAAGGTCGGCAGGAAGCGGGGCGAGGGAACCGGCCTCGGGGCGAGGGAATCGGCGTCGGGGCGAGGGCGGGGGCGAGGGCACGCGCGCGCAACCGCGTTAGCCCTCGCCCGCCCCAGGCGAATTCCCTCCCTCGCTTCCTCAGTCAGCTGTCGGCCTGCCTCATGATCGGTGCACCGGTCATGAGACAGCTCTTTCAGCTGGCTTTAGGTTAAACGTCCGGTTTCAGCCTCGTTTCAGTCTTTCGTTCGCGTTTTTGTCGCTTTCTGTTTTTATTTCAATTGCATTCCCTTCATTTGTCATTGTTATTGCGTTTTCTGTTCTTTATGTCATTTTTCGTTTAATTTGGTGTATTTTAAATCGTCCGGTTTCAGCCTCGGTCCCAGAATTTTGTGTGTGCATGTTTGTTTCATGTTTTCAGCCATTAATCATGACTTTTTTCCCTAGCCCTTCTAAGTTCCTTCTTTCCTTGCAGTGCTTTCCCGTTAAATATTTAACATTTGACATTTTTAACTAATACCTTCATGTCTATTTTCATCCATTTAGAAGGGAGATTTCAACCACAGGATCTCCACGTTTCGTCAAGCACTCCACCAGGTTCGGCAGAGTCTTTTTATGACCTCCCTCTCTTCCAATTTTCGGTGGCATTATTTCCCTCATGTTATTATTTTTTCTTTTCTTAGTTCGAGAGATCTCGCCGCTTTCAAGAGGACCATCAAGAGGACCACCCATCTTCGCCCCACTCCTCCATTCTCCAGCAGCAAGGTTTTTTAATTAATTTTCATATTCCATTCTTTCCTTTTCTTGAGTTTGTGATTTCATGAAAGTTAATTTTAAAGTGTAATTTAGGTTTCATGTAATTTAATGTTTGAAAAACGGTTTCTGCCTCTGTCCCAGAATTGTGTGTGTACGTGCTTGTTTCATGTTTTCAGCCATTCTAATTTACTTTTTCCCTTACAGTGCTTTCCCTTTAATTTATTTTACCCTTGACATTTTGAACTAATGCTTTCATGTCTTCTTACATCCTTTTAGAAGGGCGCTTTCATCCCTAGGATCTCCAAGATTCATCAAGCATCCACCAGGTTCAGCAAATTCATTATATATCTTGATTCTCTTCCAATTTTCCTTGTCATTATTTCCCCCCTCATTTTATTATTTTTTCTTTTCTTAGTTCGAGAGATCTCGCCGGCTTCAAGAGGACCATCAAGAGGACCACACATCTTCGCCACCCTCCTCCATCCTCCAGGAGCAAGGTTTTTTAATTAATTCATTTTGATATTCTAATCTTTCCTTTAATTAATTTTGTGATTACATGTTTGTTTAATGTTCCCTTACCCTTGCCCCTACTAATTCCCTTCTTCCCTCACAGTGCTTTCCCCTTAATTTATTTTACCCTTGGCATTTTGAACTAATGCTTTCATGTCTTCTTACATCCTTTTAGAAGGGCGCTTTCATCCCTAGGATCTCCAGGATTCATCAAGCATCCACCAGGTTCAGGAAATTCCTTATATATCTTGACTCTCTTCCAATTTTCCTTGTCATTATTTCCCCCCTCATTTTATTATTTTTTCTTTTCTTAGTTCGAGAGATCTCGCCGGCTTCAAGAGGACCATCAAGAGGACCATCAAGAGGACCATCAAGAGGACCACCATCTTCGCCGGACCGCCCCTAGCTCCAGGAATAAGTTATTTTAATTAATTCATTTCAATTTTCTTATATTGCCTTTTTTTGCTTTTTTTAAAATATTTGTCATAACGTGTGATTTAAATTTTAAATGACTGGGATCGAGGCTGAAACCCGATGTTTGTTTAATATGTTTTGTGCAATTTTCATTTTTTATGTATGTGTTTATGTATTGTTTGTGACCCTCCCTTTTTTTCCGTGCTTGTATGTTCTACATATTTATTTGAAAGCGTTGTTGTCTTCCATTCATTGTGATTTGTCTTCATATTTTTATCGTGTCCTTTTCCCCTAACCATTCTAATTTCCTTCCTTCCCTGCAGTTTTTCCCTTAAATTATTGACTCTTGACATTTTGAACTAATGCTCTCATGTCTTCTTTCCTCCATTTAGAAGGGAGATCTCATCCATAGGAACCCCCGTTTCATGAAGCACTCACCACGGTCAGCAGAATCCCCCAATGTCTTCACATTCTTCCCTATTAATTATAATTTCCCCTTATTATTATTTTCATTTATTTTCTCAGTTCGAGAGATCTCGCCGCCTTCAAGAGGACATTCAAGAGGACATTCAAGAGGACATTCAAGAGGACATTCAAGAGGACCTTCAGGAGGACCACCCATCCCCTGTAACAAGGTTTTTTTTTTATTAATTCAATTCAAAGTCCCATTCTTGCCCTTTTTTTGAGTTTGTGATGCTGTTTTTTTTTAGTGACTGGGTACAGAGGCAGAAACTGTTGCTTAATTTAATGTTTTGCGTTAATGTTCCTTTTTTTTTTAAGTATGCTTTTGCTTTGTCTTTGTCCCTTTCATTTTCTTCTATTGCATTCTTCATTTTGCTCTGCCTTTGCTATTCTTGTTACTAATATGTTGCTGCCTTCCAGGTCAACATTTTTTGGTTTTTTTTGCTTCCTACTATTTTTATTACTTTTTCTTTCTTACGTATTTTTTTCTTTGCCATTAACATTGCTAGGTTGCTTCTCCTTTTTGCGTTGTCTCATTATAATTTTCTTGTTTGTTTGTTTTTTTCTGACTATTTTCTCTTGTAAATTCCCTCCCTTCTCCCATAACCCTCCTTCCTTTTTGGGGCCTTAATTCACTTCTCTCATAATGTAAATCTAAAATAAATAAATTTAATTAATTTGTTTATTAAATATGTTAATGCGTAACGATAAACGTAAACTGGTTAGCCCTATTTTTTTGTAAAAGTGGACCTAAAATTAATTTGCCCCAATTACTAACCTACTTTAAGACAGGTTGCTTCTTATTATATGCTTATCTCTCTCATTAAAGATAAATAGCAGTAACGGCTAAAACGATAGATGGGAGGGACCCTGGTGCGACACCATGTCGCACCTTAGTCATGGGACACCTTCCCATGTCTACGTCATTAGCTCCGCCAGGGTCTTGCACTCTGCCAGCCCTGGTGACGGGCGGGTCTCACCGCGGTGGGCGGGTATGCTCTGTGAAAGTCCACCACATGGTGCGGGGCCCACCGAGCTTTTAGCTCCTATTAAATTTTTAAAATAATAATGATGATGATGGTGATGCTTCGATCGTGAACTCCCCCTCGGACCAGTGAGGTCCCAGTGATGAACGCCTACCAAATCCTTGAGGACGGCTGAATCAGGACCCCAAGACCTGCCCCCCATCCGGACCAGGAAACAAGAGACGGAGAGAGGGAGATGGAGAGGGAGAGAGGGAGAGGAGGTTGTTGCAGCAGGCGTGGTGCATCCAATTTGGGGTGAGGACTTCTGTGCTCCTTTTTTTGAGCTTGTTTTGCTTGTCTTAACGTGTTATTAAAATTTTAAGTGACTTGGGACTGAGACTGAATCAGGACTTTAGTTTAATATTTTTTGTGCTTTGATACTTTTGACCATCAAGAGGACCATCAAGATGACCACCCATCTTCGCGGGACTGCCCCCATCTCCAGGAAGAAGTTTTTTTTAATTAATTCATTTCAAAGTTCTATTATTGCCTTTTTTGTGCTTTTTTTGCGATGTTTGTCATAACGTGTTATTAACATTTTAATTGACTGGGCTCGAGGCTGAAACTCGTCGTTAGTTTAATATGTTTTGTGCAATTTTCCTTCTTTATCTATGTGTTTATGTTGTGTTTGTGACCCTCCCTTTTTTTTCCGTGCTTGTATGTTCTACATATTTATTTGAAAGTGTTGTTGTCTTCCATTTATTGTGATTTGTCCTCATATTTTTATCGTGTCCTTTTCCCCTAGCCATTCTAATTTCCATCTTTCCCTGCAGTTTTTTCCCTTTAATTATTGACCCTTGACATTTTGAACTAATGCTCTCATGTCTTCTTTCGTCCATTTAGAAGGGAGATTTCATCCATAGGAACCCCCCGTTTCATGAAGCACTCACCACGGTCAGCGGATTCCCCCCAATGTCCTCGCTTTCTTCCCATCCTAGTAATTATCATTTCCCCTCATTATTATTTTCATTTATTTTCTCAGTTCGAGAGATCTCGCCGCCTTCAAGCGGACCTCCAGGAAGACCTCCAGGCGGACCTCCAGGGGACCAGTGATGAACGCCTACCAAATCCTTGAGGATGGCTGAATCAGGACCCCAAGACCGGCCCCCCATCCGCGGACCAGGAAACAAGAGACACAGAGAGGGAGGGAGAGGGGAGAGAGAGAGAGAGAGAGGAGGTTCTCGCAGCAGACGTGGTGCATCCAATTTGGGGTGAGGACTCCTGTGCTCATCAGAGTGGCGACCGTTGTGCCGGTGACTTCCAGAGGAAACTACTTGGCGTCCATGCGTTCAACGTATGACGGCCAGGGAGGAGAACTTTTCGGTGATCTCGCGCCGTTTGCTGACACGTGCCACAACCCTGCCACAACCGTGCCACAACCCTGCCACAACCCTGCCACAACCTGTTTGGGACTCGGGAACGCTGCTCTGTTGTGTCTGAGCATGTCTCGAGTGTGTCACTTTGGATTCTTTTGTAAATTATTGTCATTGAATGTATTAAGTGAATATGGGTGATCATCATGGATTTTCATTTTTCTTTTCATTGATATTTGATTCTCACCTGTTGTGATGGCCGAGGCTCCTTCGGGAGCTCCTGAGAACGGGAATGTATTCATATTTACCATCGAATCCATGCTGCCTTTGTTTTCCTCTTGGTTCGACGCCCCATTTCGGATCTCTGAATCGTGCCCAGGCATTTCTTCGTGAAGACCACCTTTTCAAAAAGGGGAATCATAGGAGATCGATTTTGAATTCATTTAGTTTTTGTCCATTTAATGGAGAACTAGAGAGTGTCGATGACACCCGTGCTAAAAAAAATTCGGATGTTAAGAAATTTCTGCTACAACGAAAGAATGATTTTCCTATAATGAATTTTCCCCGTCCAGAAGGAAATCATTTTTTTTTTTCCTCTCGAGGAAAAGCGCAAAAGGGCTGACCCTTGCCTCCATTCGGCCCTCCACCTCGGTCTTCCGCTGCCCTCGAGAACCAAGGACGTGACGCGTGCAGAATGTGCGTGATGGAGGGAACGCGAATGCGCGTGTGGCGGGGGATGTGATGAGTGCTTCCTCGCGGCAGCGTCTTTCGGGCTCCCTGGTCGAGTCGATCCCGTACGAGTTTCATTTTTCAAGGCTTCGAGTGGTCCATGTCCCTGAACACAGTAGAGGCTTTTACGGATTTAACCCTTTCGCTGCGTGATTTATTTCGACAGGAAGCCGATGGCAATGTTGCAGGAAGAAATTGTCGTCTCTTTTCGCAGCGTCAGGATATTCGCCGCCCGCCTCCACCCACCGCCTACATCGGCGCGCCCGATCGGATTTCTCTGGTGAAAAAAACCACGGAATTCGACGCGTCGACGGCAGGAGGTCTTCCTCGCCAGAAACCTCCTCCGTGCCTCCCTCCCCTCCCTACGCTTCCGCCCCGATGCCTCCCGATTCGCCTTCGATGCCGCGATCCTCGGACGTTCTCTCGTCGATCGACTTCGACGATTCCTCGGAACGCACGAAAACGTCGATGCTCGCGATCTCTGCACGGGTTCCGGAGGAAAGTGGATCGGAGAGAAGCGTTTCCATCCGGAGGATGTCCCCCCCCCCCTACTACATGCATGGCAATGAGTGTTCTTCCCTCTGACCCGTGACATCACCGTGTGACGTCACCGACGTTCCCTCGAAAGGTCTTTCCGTCCCAGGTCTTCGCCTCTCGGCCGACAGCGTCGCACCTGACGGAGTTTCGAATCGCCTGAAATCCGATTTCCCGAATTCCGCGCCGATCCGCAGTAGCGTTCCGCGATTTTTTTCCTCCAGGAATTTCCGGCGTTCGGAACGGGAGCGGCATCGACCGTTCGGACGTTCCATCGCGGAACGAGCTCAAAACTTTCCGCATGCAAATCTTCGGCGGATCGACAGACGGCGAAGGTCTCATCAGAAGTGACTTCATCGGAAGTGACTTCATCGGAAGTGACTTCATCGGAAGTGACTTCATCGGAAGTGACCTAGTCCACTCTGCTTTTGGATGGGGAGAGAATGAGAGAGTGAGAAAGTGAGAGTGAGGAAGTGAATAAGTGAATTCGATGGGGTTCGAGTGGAGACTGTATGGCGGAAGGAATTCCTCCACTCCGAGGGATGGGTAGAGGGGGAATCTTCAGATTCCTTCTCTGGCGTGAGACTGACGTCCGGTTTCTTTCATAGGGTTCCTTCTCTCATGCCTTCTTTCTCCTTCCCCCAGCCCCTCGCCTTCCCCCTTCTCCCCTTCCATTTCGTCCTCAAGATCCGGTTTTTTATGCGACTGGAAAAAGAGAGACGGTTTTTTTTTTTCGTCCCTTCGCTCTTGAAAATCCCGTCCCTCTGTCGCGTATCGAAATCCTTCCCGTTTTCTACTCGCGGCGTTTCCGCGTCCGCCGATGGTTCTTCCGCGTTTGCACCAGAAAGACCGCGTCAGCCACCGGCGGACCTTTCTCCATCGATTTCTTTTTCGGCTGGATTTTCCCGAACCCGTCTGCATCGAGGCCTCTCCCCCTCCGCGATTCGCATCTTCCGTGGAGTATATCGAACCGATTTCATTCTGAGCCCATGCATGAGGAAGGAAAGCCTCCTTTGCGGCTGAGATCAACGGGGGAGGCATTCCGCCGAAAGGAATTCTTCAAACAGGGGAGGGAGAGGGGGAGGGGGAGGAGAAAGAAGGCGGTGTAAAAAAAAAAATATTCGTGCTGTCCTGTCGTCTGCTCGCCGGAAAAAAACCCGAGCCGAACGAGAAAAAAGTGGGAATGCCAAGAGAGGCGATCGATGTCTCGTCTGAGTCGTGGATTCCGTCGCGTCGTGTAGGATCGTGTTATGTATAACGGATGCGGGAGGTTGCGGGGATGGGGGAAGGCAAGACGGTGAAGACGGTGAAGACGGTGAAGACCGTCGCGGGTCAGAGGGGAGGAGACTCATTCGCGTGCGTGCAGTAGGGGAGGAACCTCGGTCGTCCTTGATGGGTCCACGTTGAAGGATCGTCGCGTTTCCCCTCGTTCTTCAGAGATTCGCGCTCGAAGGTGGAAATGTCTATGAACGAGCGCGCACACACACACACACACACACACACACACACACACACACACACCTTTACTTCTCACATTTACATTCATTCTCACTCCCCATGATTACGGATAAATAAATAATAAACAAAGCAAGACAAATTGATGATTTGAATAATTTTT